CCGCGCTTGCGTACATGTTCGCGCTGAAACACGCACAGCAGAGAGCAGCGGACTATCTACTGCTGAGGCTCGCTTAGCTTGAGTGGAGTCGCCGCAACAGTAATACCCTCGCCTCGCATTCTCATGGCCTCGCCATATCTTGGAGATTTCGAAATTTCGGCCCGAACGGAAGCCATAAAGGGTACACGTGTGCACACAAAAGGAAGATTAATCATTGAATGTCGAGTATTTGAATAGCGTTTTGTGTAAACTAATTCATGCTTGATCGGCCAAGTGCGTGCGCGTGCGTGTGTGCGTGTGTGTGTGTACACACACACACACACACACACACACACACACACACACTTATTTATTTTTTCCGGAATTTTCAGAAAAGTCCACTTTCATCTCTGTTTAACTTTGTCCGAGAAAATCTCTGACAATGGCTCTTTCAACATTTTGGGTTGCCGACCCCTGTGTTAGACCCTGAACTGGTAGACAGTCATTAGCAGGGCACGTAGAAACAAACAGAGAGAAAAAAAAAATCAAAGTCACACCTATTGTAGCTTGCACCATTATTGGTTTCGATGGCTTTCCATGACAACTGGGATCGAATTTATTTGAGGTTGTTGTTTTGTGAAAGTGTCTTTTGTTTCCATACCAACCTTGATAGTTATGTTTTTTTTCTTTCAATATTTTCAAGTTGGTATTAGGAATATTTTCTCAAAGATCACTTCCGCTTTGAGGTCACGTATGGCGGACGGTGCGAGGAATTGCGAGAGAGCGAGAAACACGAACCACAACACCGTCTGGTCGACTGTATTTTTCATTGTCTACTGTCGGTCTGCAAGGTGCACACAATATCGTGGCAAAAACTCACACTGAAAAAAACCTGCAAATTATTGTTATCGTATTAATCTAAACAATTAGAATACTTTTGATGAAATAAATAAAATAAAAGTTGAACTTTTTTAAAGACTTTAGAACAGAGTTCTCAAACAGTGGCGGCCGCTTGTCATTCAAGGAGGTAAAGCAAATTTTTTTGCCGGCCTACATCATAAATGAGTTCATTCATTCATATACTTTGCATTTACTTTGTGTTAAATTAGAATACAGAACTATACATTACATTTCTTGATTTAAGTTTGATATAAGTCGTGTCAGTTACGAATGAAAAGTAGCTGGTTCTGAACAAAAATATGAAGGTATTCAAACACATCATTTAGCAAACGAAATGATTACAGCAGTCAATATTTCGCCATTTATTTATTTTTTGGATGAGGGGGTATTTTACGGAAAGCTGAGCTTCCTTTGTGGTTATTCAACAATTGCCACAAGTCTCAAATTCAATTTTTGCGAGGGCTGCCGGAGGTAGTCTGGATGTGTATAGGTCACATGAAGTATTTCACAATAAAAGGGGGCTCAAGTATTATTTAAAACAGGACAAATAATCCGATTATCTAAATCATTACGAACAAATTCAGTCCCAACCTCGCGTTTATAATCCAACCATTTAGCGCCATCCACGGGTTAACTCGAGTACTGCATATTTCCGTGGGGTGGGGGTGGGGGGGGGGGGCTAATGCAATTCCTCACAAAGTATCAGGCTTGTAACGGGTTGTCATGAGGTGCAATCGCCAGCAGATGTCAACCATGTCTTGGATACGAGCATAGACAGTCCTGTTTACGCAGTAGAATAAGACCACATTGAAAGAAATAATGTCGGACTGCTCAGGCTAAATTAAAAGGAAGCATGGAGAGCGATTAGAAAATGGAGAAATGCGTCCAACGACTTTATCTTGCTTTTCAACAAAGGCGACAAAAGATTAAAGACTGCAAATGCTTTAGTGACGTTGAACCCGACTTTAAATGAAGACTTTCCACTTGGGATAAGGCTCAGAGCAGCGGAGAAACGTGTCGCCTGAGCCCCCAGAAAAAGACAAGACTGTGAGTAACTTGAAGATTCTGGCTGGTGTCATGCTGAATGGGAACCAATCATCAGTGAATCAACTCAAAACATTTTTGGCACTGAGTTTTATCATTGGTTTGTAAAAAAAAAAAAAAAAAAAAAAAAGACGTCACTATGTATTGGGATGTGTGAAACCCCAATATATACATTCTTTCCTTCTTTCTTGTGTTTATATGTAAAAAGAAAAATGTTCTGAAACCCCTCCAACGTGCGTTTTGGATTCATGACAATGAAACATGTTTTGTTTTTGTCAACCATTAAATGTAAATTATATTTTTTTTCACTTTGCACATTTTTCTTTTGAAATGGAAAGGACATTCTGTTTCGTTTGTTACAGTATCACATGCGACCTGACTGACCGTGATAAATTAACATTCAATTTATGAAAAGGAAAAAAATAAAAAGCACCCTTGGTCTAAAGTTTTATGGGCGAAGTCACAAACCGGTATAAGTCAGCGAGGCGTCATCAGGTTTGCGTGGTTCAGTCATCCGCAACAACAAAGGACCCCTCTGGAATTCTATTGTTTGCTCATGCAATCGTGACAGCAACCAGATAGCGGTTCAGCTTCCACATCTGTATGCCAAATCCTTGAGTAAATACGGCCCAAATGGTGAGTGTTTTGCACGTCAATGTTTGCAAGTCTATGTCATGTTTTCCTCAAAGGTCAAACGAAATCATAGCTCTGTAGATACTGTGTTTAGTAGCAATGCTGGTACCACATACTAAAACAGATTAAGTTGCTCCCTTCAAAGAGAATGTCGAATACATTTGAACGTTCAATATCAATTGACTAAGATAACACTCCAGAGACCCAACTCTTTGTTTGCAAGCAATTAAAAAAAAAATACGGTATTCAAATTTCCATATGCCCATTTTAAGCAGTTTGGATTTTTAGATCGCCACTTACATCTTGATTAGACATGTCCCAGTATGGCCTTTCTCCAAAAGACATCACCTCCCACATGACAACGCCATAACTCCACACGTCACTCGCAGAGGTGAATTTACGGAACTGGATGGCTTCTGGAGCAGTCCATCGGACTGATATTTTTCCGCCCTGTTCAGAAAAAGTGTGGTGAGTGACAGTTTTGTACACGAATGCTGAAAGATTTTGTTTTCCTTTTGGGGTCGCCACAGCACATCATCCTTTTCCATCTGAGTCTTATCTTCTGCATGCTCCTCTCTAACACCAACGGCCATCATGTCTTCCCTTACTTACATCAATCAACCATCCTCATCACCATTCTCCCAATACACTCTCAATCACTCCTCTGGACATGTCGAAACCATCTAAGTCTGCTGTTCCTAACATCTAACCTTGGCTGACCATATGTTGAGCTCATTTTTAATCACATTGAACCTGGTCACTCCTGAAGAAAACCTCAGCATCGTAAATTGAATTACGAAAGATGCCCAGCTATAATTGTTGATTTTTTAAATTTTTTCTTTTTTTTTTTTTTTAAAAATGCACTGCATTTCCGGTGCCCAAGAGAAAAGGCAAGTGCTTGAATTAACTCACCGTAGTTGAGTAGACAGCCTCAGGGTCGTCATTTATCGTCCTGGAAAGACCAAAGTCAGACACTTTGCATACAAGATTGCTGTTGACAAGGACGTTACGAGCAGCCAGATTTCGATGGACGTATCCCATATCGGCGAGATATCTCATCCCCGATGCTATGCCCCGCAGCATCCCAACCAACTGAATGATTGTGAACTGACCATCATGTATCTGTGCAAAAAAAAACACAAAAAAAAAACATGAAGATAACCATTCATTTTTCCTTCATGAGAGTTGGAGATACTCATGATACCCACTCGAAGGAAGGCATCTAATGAGCCATTCTCCATGAACTCTGTCACTATCATCACAGGTTTTCCTGGAGAAAAAGAGCACTGATTACATCCTGTACATCCCAAAAAAAAAAAAAAACACTTCTTCACAAAACGCTCGAGACAAAATAAATAAATTAATTAATTAAAGGTATGTGTTACAGTGAAACTCCTCTACAACAAAACCTACATGGGCGAAAATACCCCCTAGTGTGAAAAAATGTTCATGCATGAAAGCCATTCCCTCTTTTCTGCTTCCTTCTACAACGAAAAAAACCCCTGTTCCGTGATACGAAATCTTTTTCTCTGCTCTTGCCTCGCAACGAGATTCACTACAACGAAAACAAGCCTTCCGCAAAAGTCTAATCCAACCTCAGCATGCCACAGCGACCTGTACTGCTTTGTTCAGAAACGGCAACAGCAACCACCACACTGGTTTACACATGCGCAGCAGTACAGGAAGTATTTGTTTCAGACGTAGCACGAATGTTGCATTGCTAAAATGGCGACAAAAAAAACCCCCAAAAAAAATGGACCTTTGCAGACCAAGGAGTTAAGAAAAGAAAAGCTTGAACACTTGAAGACAGGATAAAGGTAATACAAATGAAAGATGGAGGAAGCAAAATAAAAGACATTATGCAAGAAATTGATGTAAGTGAAAGTAAATGCTGATTGTAAATTTCGCAATTTCTTTCCCTTTTTTCTTTCTACGCTGTCTATATGAAGTGTCAAATAAGTGTATGCTCATGCTTATGCACTATTGGAATAAAAATAAAAAGTACACATATATGTTTTTTGTGTGTGTTCATGTTTACGTCTGAGATAAAAATTGCTTCAGTGAAAAGTCCCGTTGTGAAAAATGTCTTGCTGCAAACATGATTTCGTTGTAGAGGAGTTTCACTGTAAATACACATTCATAGTCTCATTCAAATAGACTTGAGAATTATAAGGCTGCACGGCTAATGTCATAAGCTGTAATGCCAAAACGAAAACGGTTCCACACGTTACCTCTTGTCACTACTCCCTCAAGATGCACAACATTGGGATGGTCAAACTGTCCCATAATGCTGGCCTCACACAGGAAGTCCTTTTTCTGCTTCTCTGTGTGACCCACTTTTAATGTTTTGATGGCCACTGCAGCATCCCGCTTTCCAGGTACTTTGAGCCGGCCGCTGCACACCTCTCCAAACTGTCCTGTATGGCATGGAATAGTGGTTGAAGGTAAAGAGAAAAAGAGAAGACGGTGTTTTCAATATTCATTCGTTCTTTCCATTTTCCAACTGCCAATTAAAAAAAAAACTAAAAAACTAAAAAAGACTCATGATTTTGTTACTGTTTCAATATCTGACATAAATAATGAAAAAAAAAACATGCCTGATTTTATTCTTAAATTTCTGTCCAAGACCAAAAAATGTGAACATGAAAAGCACAGGACAACATTGGGATTGACCTTTTCATGCACCAATAACCTGTAACCTAATAACATGATAATTATTAGGTTACACTGTAGTAACCACTGTCCCTCAAAGGGTTAATATTAATTGCCCTATGTTTACTTGACTCAGACGTTTGGTAACACGGATTCGAGAAGATGTCAGCTTTTTATTTGCTGGCACCACAGTCATTCCCAAATACGACCACCATCCATCAAATCGGCTGTCATGTTTTGCGTGATGGTAGAGGGCCAAAAAAATAGCAGGGAGGTGGGAGAAGCAGGGTGTACTGAACAAAATATGTTAACCAAAACATTTATAAGGCCACACTGGAAAAAAAAACAAACAAACTCAAAAACATAAATACAGTGGCACCTCTACTAATGAAATTAATTGGTTCCGGAAGAAATTTCTTGACGAGAAAATTTTGTAAGTAGAGACGCGTTTTCCATGTCAATGCACAAATACGTTCCAAGCCCCCCAAAATTCAGACATAAATGTTTTCAAAAGCATAATAATGCATCAAAATATATAACAAATACATGTTACTATTAGATTATTGCACTTTTTTTTGAGAGTTGTGCATCATGTATAAAACAAGAATTAAAATGATGGTCATTTAATTAACTTTTCACTGTGTCCTCATCGTTTTTTTTTGACCTCTTTAGTTCATGTTCTCTCTCAGAAGTGGTTTTTGCCTGGCGTTTTGGAAAGAACTGATCCAAGGACGTTTGCTTTTGTTGGCTTATAACAATCCTTTGAAAATGTCCAAGGCGGAAAAGTGGTTAAGATGGCACGACTGTGTGTTTTATGTGGTGTGTTGTATTATTTTGTCATTTCATGTTCAGTGCTCTTTTGATGGCGTGTGTTTTATGTGGTGTGTTGTATTATTTTGTCATTTTATGTTAAGTGCTCTTTTGATGGCGTCGCGGGCACCCACAGTGCCTCCTCTTGTTGTCTGTTTTCTGTTTAAGAGGGAGGACATTTCATCTGTGCTGTATGTTTAACATTCAGCACATTTGACAATAAAGTTGTACTTGATACTTGATACTTGAAGGCAAACATCAGCTGAGTGAGCGATAGCCCGACTGGTGAACACCTTTTCTGGGGATTGCCATTTACATAAAACTATCGGAACCCCTCATGCCCTGAGGGGCGAATGACGAGGACGCTGCATAGACACATATCTATCTATCTACACACATGGACATATTTGGTAGAAGTCCCTCTTAGCCGATGGGATGCCAGGAAGATGCTAGGTAATAGCCAGTGGCAGAGCAGCTCGAAGTATGTTGCTTTCAGGAAACTCGGAGCTGCAAGTTGCAGCCCATACTGTATTTTTACCTTTCATATCTTGGAATTTTTTTCGTAGCGAGAGGCAATATTTTCCCGTTGAGGCATTTCGTAACTTGAAAATTTCGTATGAAGAGACGTTCGTAAGTAGACGTACCACTGTAGCTCAAAGTAACAAACAAACAATAACCCCTGACACTAGCACAACAATCCGACCAAAAGCGGTCGGCGTGGCAGTCCTTTTAACAGAAAAGAGCTAATGACATGATGACCAACAGGTGCGACGCTGGAGGAGAAGCCCTCCACTGCCACCTGTCCGTCACAAACGGAACAGAACCATGACATCAGCCCTATTGCGAGGGTCATTCAATAAATAAGGTACATTTTTTTCGGTAACAGGACTTCTATTACAGATAGAAACTTTTTTTTTTTTCAACATAGTCTCCCATATATCTCTCAACGTAAAAATCTTTGGACGAATGTCTCAGCCAGTCACTCACAACACCTTTGGCTTCATTTTCTTTTGCCAACAAATTTTGTTACAATGAGTTTGGATGATTCCCTGAATGCATTTAGGGTTGAGGTGGATTTATTCAGTGTCATAGGTGTGTTTGACTTGATTTTATTACTCGTATCATGATGGGCAGTTTTCACATGAAAATTATTCACAGTGGAACCATTTGCCTGTTTCTAAGGTTTGTAGTAATTAGTATGCCATTTTCTCAAATGCATTTGGCCACCGAAAGAAAATAAAAAACATTTTGATGGGATGAGATGGAATAATTATAGTGACGTTTTACACCTCTGTGCTATTACACACGTCAATTTACAATGTCGAAAGCTACGTCCTGTCTTCAAGATGTGAATATTGGACTGATGACAAGAAAGATACGAGCGCAGGGACTAAAGAGAAGGCAGAGGGACTCACCTGCTCCAAGAACCCTTTCAATTTGAACGTAGGACGCATCCAGCTCCTTGGCAAATTGATGAACAGACCTATTTGGGTCCTCGTTGGTTTCGGGGTCAATATAAGTTTTGGAGCCTGGAAATTTAACTGAATAAGAAAATAGGATTATTGTTTCATTTTTAATTGTGAAAAGCAAACAAGCATGCTGTGCGTATATTGATAATTGTGAAAAATATGAACACATCCTATACCACAGGTGTCAAACTCAAGGCCCGGGGGCCAGATCTGGCCCGC